AAGGTATATCAGTTGTAATCAAAGTATGTGATTTGAAAAGGCTTGCCATATTGTGAAAGCGCGAGAGCATGGGCGACAGTCAGCAGTTTTTTGAAGTGGCTGTTCACAAGATCAAACAAGAGCCTGATATTAATGCACTCGCTTCTGCTTTTACGCTTTCTAATGACAATCTTTTTCGAATCAATTACTTATTATCAAGTTATAGCGCATTGTCTCAAAATATTTTTGCCATTTTTCCAGGCTCATGTTGCTGAATCTGTAACCAATGCGGACCACTGCAGTACGTATGCTTTGAGTGATAGTAAGGAGGATCCATTTAAAAGCACGTGCAATCATTCACATGACAAACGCTGTATGCAATGTGAGACCCTGAAGGACGTTCTAGAAAAAGTCGAATATTGTTTTGTGGACTGCGAAGTGAGTCCAGAGGAATTGGACGATTTGACGTATTCTTGCCGACAAGCGGTAGACAGCATCAAAGGGTGGAAAGCACATCAGCTTCGAAGTTGCAGACAGGACGAGGCAAGAACATCCATTCTGAATACCCTCGATGAAAGGTCTGTTCACGTAACTCAGGACTCCCACAAAAATACCGAGAGTCGCAATCTGATTGGTTTGGTAAGCGGGGAATTTCGTGGCACATAAGTGTGGTTGCGCGCAAGATCAAGCAATGTTTTCAACACCAGGCATTTGTGCATGTTTTGGAGAACTGCAAGCAGGACAGCTACACTGTTGTGCGAATAATTGAACATACTTTACGGACCCTGAAACATGAGCATCCCGAATTGACAACTGCTTTTCTACGGCAAGACAACGCCGGCTGCTACCATTCTGCTGAAATGCTGGCAAGCTGTGCTCAAATGGAATCTAAAACTGGTATCGCAGTACAAAGGGTTGACTTCAGCGATCCCCAGGGAGGGAAAGGTCCTTGCGACAGAAAGGCGGCTACTGTCAAAGCCCATGTAAGGAGATACATCAACGAAGGTCATGATGTGTTGAATGCTAATGACTTCTTGAATGCCATGCTTTCAAATGGTGGAATACCAAATGTTAGAGCGGTTATTGTTAATGCCTGTAGTACCAAAAGGGATGCTCAACTTTCACTGAAGTGGTCTGGCGTTAACTCTTTAAACAACTTTTTGTATTCTGAGAAAACTATCACTGTTTGGAAAGCGTACAATGTTGGCGAGGGAAAGAAGGTACCAGGTATGCAAAACAAATGGGGAAAAGTTTTTCATTTATTCTTCATATTTAACCTTAAATGTGGAGTACAAGGTTCTATGCTGCCGTCACGCTCGGCATGAAATTTTTCATAAGAAGAAGAAAAAAAACAGTGACAAGAAAAAACACACTGGAATAAAAAAAACTCTTTTTCTTACTGAAGTTATACTCGTGCTCCACACTCTAGTTTACCACCTATTACTTATCCTTCGCGCTAAATACCCCTAAACAACAACAACAACAACAACAATAATAAAAAAAACACTGTCCATTTGCGGAGCTGAATCTTGTGTAATGGTATTACATTTTCATTTTGGTTTTTTAGTTCCAGATTACTCACAGCCGCCCGGCTTTGAGTGCCAGTTTTCCTCAGGGGACTTCTCAGAGGTACCTCAGGCGGTCGATAAGCAAAAACCCAGTTTTCAAGAGACTGGTGAACAACATCCAGATGAGAAGGAAGAAGACCGAGACCTGAGCGCTATGTTTTCTTGTCCGCACGAGGGTTGCGTTAAGATGTATCAGCGTCACTATGCTTTGGAAAATCACTTGCTGTATGGGCAATGTGAGTTTCTACCGGTCAGAGAAAGTCTTATGGATAAGGCCAAAGTATTATACCATGATAAACTACTCCGTGAGGCGAGCAACCTGCCATCCGTGAAAGCTGAGTCAAGTCAATGCCCGGTAACAACTGAGGTTCTTCCACAAGGGTGGGCTTTAAGATCCGCTAGAAAGGCAACACGGTTTAGTGATTCCCAGCGACAGTACTTAGACGGGAAATTTAACGTCGGGCAAGCAACAGGAGTGAAACTTGATCCTGTGGATGTTGCACGTGACATGCGTTACGCGCGAAACCAGGAAGGGGAAAAGCTGTTCACTGTAAGTGAATTTTTGACCGAACAGCAAATTCAGTCATACTTTTCAAGACGAGCCTCTAAACTCCGGCATTCTCATTCAGAAGATCCAGAATCTGATCAAGACGAGGATATTATGGCCGCTGAAGAGGAAATCGCGCACGAAAATGTTCGCGCAGTTGTGTTAGAGGAGGTGGGAATAAGGCACCCAATTGTTTTTGACACTTTCAACCTATGTGACATGCACAAGACAGGTAAACTGCGACACCTAAGTGTTTCCATGCTGCGTTCCATTTGCGAACATTTTGACATCGAAGTGATGAACATCAAAGGACGACGCAAAGCTCCTTACTTGTCTCTACTTGGGGAACTTCTCGTGGCATGCAGTTGTCATAATAGTTAGGGTCTGTACCGACTAATCAAATTAACATTCCAGCCTCAACATTCTGTGATTTTACTTTCGAAAGAAAAAAACTGATAAGTGGCGGGAAATCAGGCCTACAACTTTTATCAACTTTGTATATTCCTACTGCAGTATCGAACATTATGCCTGATGCCCCAGTTATGGTATGCTGCTCAAAATTGTGCCTGCCAGGATCCCTTGCCGGAAAATTCCTTCAGATCCTTATTCCATCACTTACTTCTTCCCAGGCGTTCATTCATTTGTACAGGGTTAACCTCGATCAAAGGTATATATATATATTCACAAATTCCAGTCAGAAGAAGACTTGTATACAACTGTTTCTATTGTTTTATACTGAAATTCCGGCACCTTCTAGCTGGTATTTGTGAATATTTTACTTTAGGCCGAGGCTAACCCTGTATAAATGAGTCTTCAGTGCTTCTATTCAGCGGCCGCGATTAATTCGAAACTGGACTTTTTGTGCCAGACAATAAGTAACTACTGGGAGGGGAAGGGGTTGGGATTTGGGGATTTTTTTAAATTCTCAACAAGAGATCGGCTCCTGCTCCCAAGTTTATTATTATTATTATTACTATTGGAAAGCCTACACAGCTTTTTCTTAGCGATTATGGCTCAGAATGCATTGTCAATCAGAAGTACTGGGGAAAGTTTTGTCTGCCTTGGACTCAACCCCAACCCCCACCCCTTCTTACTTGTTCTAGTCAAAGAGAATGTCACGCAATCTAGTTTAGCTGCGGGACTTTGGTCTTTTTTCAAAAATATATATATTCGAGGTGAGTAAATGTTTGTCTTATTCTTCCGTCATTGCTTTTACGATTTCTTTCAGACGAAATGCGAACATTTTGATGCATACTTGTTATTTATAGAATATTGCGATAATGACTGGCACAAGTCGTCAGGCTTCAAAGTAAACAAATACGCACGTACGGGAAGTGTTGTCAAGATGTTTACAGCTCAATTTCGCACAATAAAAATGCTGTTCCTTTCGGATAATTGCCACTATGAAGTCAATAATCGTTTGTTCAGTTTTTGAACTGGTGGAAAAGGATCAAATTCGCGAAGAATTTAAACTGCTGTCCAACTTTACTCTTGTATTCGTCATTACAACCGCAAGTTCAAAAGTTGTAAATTTCACGCAAGTACCGTTAATGTTTTCAGTTCTCAAAACTTGCCGTTTGAATTGCCCCAAAATTTTATTTCATAAATTGAAAGAAGAAGGATTGCTCTTTCTCTGGAATAGCATTTGCAGAACGAAAGCCATGCACCAGGAAGGGTTTTTTGCCGTTGAAAAATGGCAAAATTGATAGTCGCGATAAAACTGTTTAAGAGGGTGATTTTGAAAAATAATTAAAAATTCAGACTGGAATCTTTTGAAATTATAACAACGTTTTCATACAAAGGAAGGGTCACAAAATCATCTTATATCGCAATAGTCATGGTATTTGTTTCCGTTTCTATTCATCATGCGAGGATGCGAAGCGCATTTTTCGGTGGTTTGAGGGCCTCTCGGAGGTGAAAATTCAAAAAAATTATTATTTGAAAAATATCAATCACAAGAAACTGAATCTTGTATTTTCTTAAATAGTTTCATAAGGGCTTTAATGTGACAAAGTTTGGGAGATTTCGATTTTTCCATCTTGCACACCTATCCGTGGTATTTACAGAAAGTTGCTCTTAAGACATTCCCAGGAGAATCTTTATCAAAGATTACTAGACATCTGTACATCGTCTGGGTAACTTTAAAATGGAAATAATACTGTTTTGCAAGGTATGAATTTTAGTCTCTTTAATATACTGGTAGTTTACTTAACTCTTTGTGTGCGTTTCTCTGTTTTCTTTGTTCTTGTGTCCCTGACCTAAACATTTAGACATCTTTTCTTTTAACTGGCTGCCTGGCACTTTTAACTCTTAGGTTATTTCGGGCAGCCAGCGCCCCTATCATCGTCTGTACTATTGTTATAAATGTTTATTTCTTGTATATTATGGGGTGAAATAAAGTGTTGTTGTTGTTGTAGGAGGTGATGGCCTCATTCGCACTGTTGAAGTTCAGATGAAACAAGGGACATTCAAACGGCCAGTCGCCAAGCTTTGCCTCCTTGAGGAGGCCGAACGTAGTGTATAGACTTAAGTCATATACAGGGGTGGCTATGTTGCTGACTGCCCTTTAGCCAGCGGATTCCACCAAAATAGGACTTGATCCCCCACGGACTAGAGACTCGAGCATGTGCTCGCGAGATCCGCCATTTTGTTATGTTATTGTGTAGTTCTTGGATTGCTGGTTAAAATCTTCGTTGTTCTCGCTCGTTGTCCAAGTTTTATTTTGTATGGATAACCTCCGCCACAGCAACTGCATGGTGCCTAAAGAACGGTACCGATTCTCAACCATTGGAAAATAAATTGGGTCCGTTTCCAATGATCGGGTTCCCGATCAATATTTGGACGTGCTCCTTAACATGGCCAACATCATCAAGAACCGCAACAGGAAGATATTAAATGAATGCGAAATGCGCGACCACAGAAGGACATGTAATTGCAGAAACAAGAACCTTTGCCCTCTTGATGGAAAATGTCTCACAAATAATGTCATCTGTTATGAAGCAAGAGTGTAGCGTGATTGTGAGATGGCGTGATTTTATTCCTTTGATTTTGTTATTAATAGTTTCACTCGTCTGTCAGAGCGACAGAGAACTTGATGACAGATCGCATTAAAATCTAAAGCTTATAGATTCAAGAAAGTCACGATTTTGTGTAGTGTGTGAGCGAGCCGTTGTACTGTGAGGATCGAAGCTGTCAAATAAACCCTGTTTTACTTTAAAACTGTGATATCGTGAAGAACGGCCCTTCGGCATTCACGACAAAGTGGCACCTCCGACGGGACAGAGAGAATAATGAGACGCTTATCGGAAAACTGAAAGCAAAACTACAGCTTTTGGAGCTCACCCAAGAGAAGAGAGAGGGTATTATTAGTACCGGGATCACCGAGAAAATTCGTCGACACAAAGAAGCTTTACAGAGCATTGTTATCGGCGCGGAAGAAATAAAGAGAGAGGTCGAACAAGCCAAGCTTGAAGGTGGGGAGGCCTTAGACGAAGTTAAAGAATGGGGGAAAGAATTCGAATTGAAAGTCGACGCCGCAGATACGAAGGTCACCTTACTCGAAGAGCGTGTGAAACGAATGGTGGCTGAAGCGGAGAATGAAGAAAGAGAAACGAAGGAGACCCTGTTGGCCTGCCAGCGTGAAGAACAATTAAAGTTCGAAAGACAGCAACTGGAGCAGAAGGCAGAGTTCAAAAAGGAAAAGGTTGCCTCTCCGAGTAAACAGAATGTCAAACTTCTGAAGCTTGTCATCACGAAGTACAATGGAGCTCTTGAGAACTGGTTGGCATTTTGGAACAAATTTGAGGCGGAGATTGACAAGACGGATCTACCAGCAGTCACGAAATTTGCCTATCTCAAGGAGCTAGTAGAGCCACGCGTTCGTAAAGGAATAGATGGCCTTCCCTTCACTACAGAGGGATATGAGCGCGCAAAAAGTATTTTGAAGAGTAATTATGGGAAGATGAGCGAGATCGTGAACGCATATATTGAAAACATTCTTGCGCTTCCATTCATTTCCGGAACTCAACCGGCCAAAGTACACGACTTCTATGAAGCTTTGCTCTACAATGTTCAGTCGCTTGAAACATTAGGAAAAACCTCTGAATGCGTGGCATTGGTGCGTGGTATTTTGAATGAATTGCCCGGAATTAAATCTGAATTAGTACAGGGTCACCCAGAATGGCAGTCGTGGAATTTCACGCAATTGCTTAACGTGCTTCGTGAATGGAGGGAAATCCATCCCCGAGAAAATGTGAAGTCACGCGACACCTTAAGAAGTTTTCATGTGGAGGAACGCAACGGAAATGCGACACGTGGTTGTGTTTACTGCTGTGGAGTATCGCACAAAGCTAAAGATTGTACCACCATTACTAGCGTTGAAGATCGTAGGAAATATCTGCAGGAGAAAAGGCTGTGCTTCAATTGTACTGGGCCGCATAGAGCAACCAATTGTCGGAGATGAGGAAACTGCGCGAATTGCAAGGAGAGGCACCACACCTCAATCTGCGACCAAAATAGCCAACTATCAAGTGAGGGGACAGCAATGACAGCCGCACACGTGGGGGAGAAAGTTTGCCATCCAGTTGTCGTTGTTAAAGTCAACGGAGTCAAATGCCGCGCATTGCTCGATACTGGCGCTACTGGAACCTACATTTCAGCTTTGTTGGAGGATCTTTTGAAAGCTAAACTAGCTCGGACCCTTATGCACGGTATCAAGACGATGATGGGCCTGGTTACCAAGCGCATTGAGACTTATGATGTTAACATCAGTGACACTTAAGGAAGGTTTACGCTGCCAGTCTGCACTACGAAGATTGAACAACGAGAACTTTTATCGCTAGAGAACCCTAACTATCCAGAAATGCTGAAACGTTATTCACATCTTAAGGGAGTGCAAATGGAAGAAACTGACACTAAGAAAATTCTCCCCATCCATGTTATACTTGGCGCTAATGAGTACACAAAAATCAAGATGGCTGGTTATCAACGTGTAGGAGAAATTGGAGAGCCCATTGCTGAACAAACCAGGTTCGGCTGGACAATAATGTCTTCTGGTGCTGAGGTGGATATTGAAAACATGTTCCTCACACAGACATCAGCTGCCGACTATGAACAATTGTGCCGCTTGGATGTCCTTGGGTTGGAAGACACGCCCATTGGTGACCAGAGAGTCGTGCACCAGGAGTTCCTTGAACAACTAAAATGCTGTCCAGAGGGGTGGTACGAAACAGCTCTCCCATGGAAAGGAAACCATCCCCCCTTGCCAGACAATAAGTTGGGTAGCCTCAAACGCCTTGCAACCCTTTTACATCGAATTAAACGAAACGGCAAGTTAGAAGAGTATGATACTATAATCCGTGAGCAGCTTGAAGAGGGGGTTGTAGAGGAAGCAGAAATGCCCGCTAAAGGAAAAGAATTTTACATTCCCCATAAGGCTGTAATTAGAGAGAATGCAGCAACCACGAAGATGCGTATTGTTTACGATGCCTCTGCTACAGCCAAGGATACAGCTCCTTCCCTTAACGAGTGTCTAGAGACAGGACTGCCCTTACAAAACCAGATTTGGAGAGTGCTGGTCCACGGAAGATTTCATGCAGTAGCAATAGCAGAAGACATTAGAAAGGCGTTCCTTCAAGTGCGCATCCGTGAAGAAGACAGAGACGCCTTGAGATTTCATTGGATTGACAGAGAGAATCCCGAGAAAGTACGTACGCTGCGTTTTACGCGTGCCTTGTTTGGTCTGGGCCCATCACCCTTTCTTCTTGGGGGCGTCATTCAGCATCACCTCGAAATTTGTAAGCCGGATTATCCCGAGACAGTACCAGAGATTGAGAGGGGATTGTACGTGGATGACCTACCGACAGGCGGTCCTACAGTTGAAAAGGCGCAACAAGTCAAGAAGACTGCAACAGAAATATTTGCAAAGGCCACCTTCACTTTACAAAAATGGAACTCAAACGCTAGAGAGCTAGAATTAACCGAAGCAACTGACAGTGAAGTTGGGCTTACTTACGCTAAAGAACAGCTAGGAGAGATACCAGGCACGTGTGGCCTTCTGGGATTGCGATGGAATAAAGAAGATGACAAAATAGCTGTAACCTTCCCTACAGAGATTGCTGACCCTACCAAAAGAGGTTTGCTTTGCAAAATTGCGAAGATCTACGACCCGATCGGTCTTGCTGCGCCTGTAACCCTACAAGGAAAGATTGTTTATCGCGATATATGCAAGGAAAAGACCGCATGGGACGCAGAGATTCCATTACAAATCGCAAAGAAGTGGAGCAAGTGGGAAAATAACCTGCCTGATCAAGTTGAAGTGCCTAGGTCCTTAGCTGTAGCCGGAGAAAAAATCCGTGAAATTACTCTTCATGCCTTTGGTGATGCAAGTGGACAGGGATTAGCAGGAGCTGTTTATGCAGTGGTCCAGCAACATTCAGTGGTGAAGCAGGGACTCCTCGCAGTGAAGGCACGCATCGCCAAAGAAGGTCTCACTATCCCCAGACTTGAGTTAGTGGCTGGTCATATGGCGGCTAACTTGCTAACTAATGTACGAGATGCGCTGATCGGGTTTCCAGTTAAGTCCTTGTACGCATGGCTAGACAGTAGTGTCGCCCTACACTGGATAAGGGGCTCCGGGGAATATAAGCAGTTTGTCAGCAACCGCGTCCGCAAGATCAGAGAGAAAACTGAAATCACATGGAGGCATGTACCGAGCCAAGAAAACCCTTCAGACTTAGCAAGTAGAGGAGGAGTAGTAAAGGAAGATAACTCGTTGTGGTGGAATGGTCTGACATGGTTGAAGGAACAAGACAGCTGGCCGCCGGACATCATAACGGTTGCAAGCCCAGAATCTAACGCAGAAGCGAAAGCCTCCAAGCAGATTTTTGCCTTAGCAGTAGAAAGCAACGATGTTATGGACGAACTGTTACTAAGATCATCCTTTTGGCGCACATTGAGAGTGGGGGCGTGGGTCGCACGATTCCTGCGCAAAAGCAAATCCCCAAGAAATCAGAGAATCAAAGGTCCATTGACTACCGAGGAAATTAACAAGCAGAGGTTGTTCTGGGAGAAGAAGACTCAAAAACAGTGGAAGGGATCTGATCAATTCCAGGAAGACCAGTTAAGACCTGCAGCCAAACCGAAAGGAGGTTCTCGAGTGCCGTGGAAGAATCCAGGGAAACTATCCCGTCTATCTCCCTGATAGTGCTCTCTACACCCTGAAGTTCGTACAACGCGCTCATGAGATTACTCTTCATGGGGTAGTAGGACTAACCATGGCCAAAGTGCGAGAGTCCCATTGGATACCACGGTTGCGCAAACTTATTAAACGAGTAATCAAGCAATGTTACGGATGCAAACGGTTTCAGATCGCTGCGTTCGCCAATCCACCTCAAGGAAATTTACCTCGTGACCGCACTGAAGGAAATTCACCATTTCAAGTAGTTGGTGTTGACTACGCCGGTCCCATCAAGTACCGCACAAGCAAAAACAGAGAAGGGAAAGCCTATATAGTCCTGTACGCCTGTAGCCTGACACGAGCACTTTACCTAGAAAACCAAAACCTTGGAGACTAACGAGTTCATCAGCACCCTTAAGCGCCTGATAGCCAGAAAGGGCCGTCCAGAGAAAATCTATTCCGAGAACGGTAAATCGTTCGTGGCAGCAGCGAAGTGGCTGAGAAACGTGATGAAAGATGAGCGCCTGCATAACTTCCTAGCCAAAGTCGACGTCAAGTGGCAGTTCAACCTGTCCAGAGCACCCTGGTGGGGAGGTCAATTTGAGAGGATAGTTGGTCTTGTCAAAAGAGCCTTTAACAAGACAGTGGGAAACGGTATGCTTACCTGGAGCGAGCTACAGGATGTTCTTCTGGACGTTGAAGTTACCATGAATAACCGCCCGCTGAGCTACGTTGAAGAGGACATTCAATTACCCATATTGACCCCCAACCTGTTGCAGTTTGGCCGCCCGAATCTATTGCCTGAAACACAGAGCCATCACTTGGAGAACCAAGACCTGAGAAAGCGTGCACGGTACCTGAAGAAAATGTAAAGACGTACTATGGGGGAGGTGGTCTTCAGAATACCTACGAGGCTTGCGTGAGCAGCACAATTTAAAGCACAAAGGAAGTAAGGTGGCCCTAGCTAAGGGAGATGTTGTCATCATTAAAGGCGAAGAAAAGAACCGTGGATTGTGGAAGCTAGGAATAGTCGAAGAGCTGATTACTGGACGAGACGGAGTTGTCAGAGGGGCTAAACTGCGAGCGGGAAGATCTTATCTGGAGAGACCTGTCCAACACCTTTATCCAATGGAGCTGTCCTGTGACAGGACAACAGCTATGCCGAGAGCCACCCTCAGCGCTGAAGCACCAGTCTTCAGGCCGTCAAGAGACGCTGCTGTGGCAGCACGTGCCAGGATAAAGGACGCTGCCGAACTTACTGATGATGACTACTGATCTTTGAACATTTCTATTAGAGACATTGCAACTATGATTAGAAAAATCGAATTGTTCATCACTATTCGCGATGAACAGGGGGAGAGTGTTATGAAGCAAGAGTGTAGCGTGATTGCGAGATGGCGTGATTTTATTTCTTTGATTTTGTTATTAATAGTTTCACTCGTCTGTCAGAGCGACAGAGAACTTGATGACAGATCGCATTAAAATCTAAAGCTTATAGATTCAAGAAAAGTCACGATTTTGTGTAGTGTGTGAGCGAGCCGTTGTACCGTGAGGATCGAAGCTGTCAAATAAACCCTATTTTACTTTAAAACTGTGATATCGTGAAGAACGGCCCTTCGGCATTCACGACATCATCTACAAAGTGACAGTCACGACAGCACCCAGAAATACGAGTAACTACATCGGCATGGTGGAAAATGACTTCAAAACAAGATTCAACAACCACAAACTCTCTTTTAGAAACCAAAACCACTCACATGACACAGTTCTTTCAAAATACATCTGGGAACTCAAGAACAATGACACGACATATGATATCAAGTGGTGTATCATCAAGATGGCAAACGCCTACAAGGGAAACCCGTCATGCTGCAATTTGTGCCTTTCTGAGAAACTCTGTATCTTGACTGCCGGCGATACTATCCTAAATAAATGATCCGAGCTGGTAACCAAGTGTCATCAGGAGAACAAGTTTTTCGCAGCCAATCACAGAAAGCGCTGTTCCAACCATCCATGAATTTCAAATTTCCTCAACGGTTTATTTTGAGCTTTGCTTAAAATATTTAATTCTATGTGCGCTGTATTTAGGTTATCGCATTAGAGTAGCTGTTGATTGATTTGTACGCCAGTATATATAGTAACGTCATGACAGAATCTGTCAGTTTATCGTGATAGTTTGCAAACTCGAATCTTTTCATTGTTTCCTAATGTCTCAATCCCCATATTCTCTTCGTCCACGTAATCAACTAGACTACGCTTTATTGAATAGCGGAAAGCAATTACAGTTTCCAGTTTACGATATTTCTCCGTTCAGAGCTTCTCTGGACCCTGACGAAGACGGCTTGAGCCGCCGCAGGGACGCAGCACCGGCCCCTCTGACATCGGATCCGGGAGAGGAGTTTACGGAGCTCCAAAAGCTACTAACTCAGGCCAAAGAGGAGAACAAGGCCCTGGAGAAAACGTTTCAACTGGAGGCCATGCGTCAGGAGTTACAGGCGCTTCGTCTTCGCAACAAGCAACTCCACCGATGCCGTCATGCGACACCTTCCATTAATGGTGGTGCGAAGCTTCTTCACGAGGACACTAAACCAGCACAAGTTCTTCAGGACTTGAGGTCCAAAAAATCGCTTTCCACCCGGGCGGACAAATTCCTTGCTACCCTAGAGGACTCATCTTCTGAGGAGGATAGTGACGGAAAAAGGCCACATTCCCGTTTCTAGAGGTAGGCGCCACACCTTGAAATCAGGGAAAGACAGTAAAATAACAAGCCGAGTGCTTTCCCCTCAGTTATGGCCCCACAGTCACCTTAGTTTATCGCACATCTCCAAAGAAAAGAAGTACGATGATTTATCGCTAGCTGAATTTGCTGCTGGATGTGCCGCCATTCTTCAGCGCCCCACCCTTTCTCCCTTGGAACTTTGCGCACGCATCGACCATTTTGCAGCTTTAATGTACCTGGCCACTTACTATACTTGGTCTTCAGTACGCGATTTGCATGCCGCTGTACTTTTTGAGAATGTGATAGAGCAAAGTCGGGTGATTCTTTTACTTATTTGGAATCTCGCATTTTACAATCACTGTCAAGATCTTCGCGTTCGGGAAGTGGAGCACCACGCTCGGAAAATCCTGCGTCCGTATTCTTCTGTCGTGATTTTCAGCATGGCACGTGTAAACACCAGAAAGATCACTTTGGCACGCTTCGTGGTGAACGTAAATGGTTTTAGCACATTTGTGCCCGGTGCTGGGTCGACTCGCGGCTTCTCTCACGTCATTCAGAGTTCGCAAAGGAGTGTCCCCTGTTCATAGATACCAGTAAACAGAAGACGACATCTTCTGCAGACAGTCAAGTTTGACTCTCTCGTGACCTTGGATTGTCATCCGTCACTTTCTCGCTAGACTCTAGACTTATTTTGCTTAGCAATTGCCAAGCTTCATTATTGCATGGCAGCTCTCCTGACGCCCGGCCTTTTCGCTCACTGTTGGCTGACTCTACGCCAGTTTTTATGGAATTTAATCAAGACTCTAGCCTTTTGGATGAATTTTCGCGTGACTCTAGACTTTCTCGTTCTTGCGGGCAACTAGACTCTAGACTTAACTCAGTTTTAGATGACCCCCTTGTGTGACTCTAGACTTATTAGTTCTTGCGTGCAGCAAGACTCTAGACTTACATCATTTTTGGATGAATTTTCGCGTGACTCTAACCCTTTTAGTTCTTGCATGCAGCGTCAGTTTAGTGCAGACCCTCCTTATCTTAATGGGAGTTCTGATCTTTCAACTTTTGCGGCTACCAGTTCGGTCATGCCTGAATTAGCCAATTTAGTAGATAATGCTTCATCTTTTTCCTCGCATGACTCAGTAAAAACTGACATCAGTTTCCAGCGTTTTTAGTCTGATGATTGCTTAGTTCATGAAACTCCGAGTTACAACTCCATTAACTTCTATCCTTTTCATTTGTATTTCGCTCTGCAAATTTTTGTGCATTGAGCACTACTACGATAAGTGAAGCTATATACGTAGATTTTTTTGTACATTTTAAATCTAATCTAATAGATTCCTTGCTTGTTCTACAACAAATAAAGTCAATAAATAAAAGAATGAAGGGTGGCCTTAATGTAAAACGTCATTTTTACTAAGTTGTCCCCCTCTGTTTTTTTGCTTGCATGGCTTATGTGAAGATGTATAAATCTCAGTGCAAGAAGCAAACAAGCCATTCGGTCTCTTTTGATATTGAATATAATTAATCATACATGTAGTACATACCGTCAACCAGTGTCAACTCGTTGTCCTAAAATTCTACGCAAATCACAAATGGTTATGCATTTGAAGGCCTTAAAAATAAAAATCTTGCTCATGAAAGAATTATTTTAACAGAATGGAATGGCCTTTTTTTCCTTTTTCCAATAGGACCATTTCAAAATTTTATGATTTGTATCTTAGCTTTAATTCCTTTTTTTTCTGCACTGGTTTATTAGATTACTTTTTCTAGAGTTCCCAACTTTTCAGAAGCAATTAAGTGATGTATAGCCTCTGAAGCCTGGAACTACATTTCCGTTATCATATTAGTCTCTGAACCAACGTTAACGGCATATTTGTTTGTTGTCCTTTGCAGTTCAACAGTTCATTTGTAACATGTTATAATCGAACTAAAGTGCTTTGAATATTTTACAGTTAGGGTGGTTTTTAAGGAATGAAAGGCTAGTACCAGTATGGTCTGTGACTGCTAAATGTAAAATACCTATATGCCCACTTGACAGGGTTACATTACCTGCATTACCAGTCTGGAATATCCCAAAATTTAAGGACAGGACCAACTGGTCGCGTGATACTCTTCAAGCAATGAGAAGGTGCACTTGTGTTTATCAAAACACAAATCAAAACATCGCCCCTGTGATAAAAAATTTTCACAACAGCAGACGGAGTTGGACAATCAGTCATCGTTTCGAGGCTCTCAGGCATATTTTTAAGACTTTTCACGAGGCATACACAACTTTTTTAAGTGGACAGCGAGCATCAACACTTCACAATGGGACCCTCTAAAGATGTCACCCACCCCAAATGGCCCATGGCTGGAAGCTTCAGCAGACTTCTGCAGACCCTTTCCCACTGGAGAAATGGTTTTGGCTGTCCTAGACGCTTGTTCAGAGTATCCTAAGGTAGAGATTGGTCCTAGTACTATGGCAGGGAATTCCCCTCCAGCACTGGAATTAATCTTCGCAACCCACCGGATACCAGAAGTCCTGAAAACTGACAATGGACCCCCATTTCAAGGTCAGGCTTTCCATGAGTTTGCCATGGAAAAGGGTTTCCACTAGAGGAAAATAACACCTTTATGGCTGGAGGTTAATGGCCATGCAGAAAACGTTATGAAGAAACACAGCTAAGGGGAAGATTGGAGGAGAGAGTTATATGTGTTTGTAGCCAACTGTGGGGCTACACCTCACCCAAGCACAGGAAAAAGCCCTTTCAAGTTACGCATGAACTGAACAGTGAGGACCAATCTCCCCACCATCCCACAAGTTACTTCCTTGCACAAGGACCAAGAAGCAAAGGCGTGTATGAAGGCCTACGGTGACCTCAAACGTCGAACAAAGCCTCACAGCCTGAACGCCGGAGATCATACTCTCATTAAGCAGAGAATTCAAAACAAGGCAAGCCCTCAGTCCTGTAGACGATCCTAGATGCTAAAGGATCTAAGATCACTGCTAAGAGAACAACTGATCAGAAACTATTCACCCGTAGCTCCTTCTTCAAGAAACTGCCAAATCTACTGGAGGAAGTCATCCAAGAATCCATTCCAGTACCTTAGGTGGAACTACAAGCCCCTGCTTGATTTTAATGGACTAGAAACCATTGAACACTCTCAAATGCCAGCAACTCAAGAGCAGTTTAGTCAAGCTACCCCAAGTGAAACCAGCCCAGTGAAAGACAACCACCTGCCTAGCACAGTACAACAAGCAACCCCATCATTACCAGCCCACTTCTTTCGTGGTGGAAGGTGAATCAGGAAACCGGAATGGACCAAGGGCTATGTTATGGACTAAGGACTTTGCTATGACAATGAGTTGAACTTTGACAACCTAGTCTTCTCTTGTTGATCAGAACTGTCAGCTCTGCATGGCACTGAACATTTTCGCTTAATTGCTGTTATTTATTTTTGTTTGTCGTTTCGTTTTTGCGAATTTATTTTTTATTTTCTTAATCACCTGGTTTATATCTATCTGGGGAGAATTGTATTGTTCATTCTCGGTCAGTGGTAACTCTTTAAGTTATCTGGGCACTTGGTTGTTACAGAGACCTTCCCTACAAACCATGTGTGAGATTTGAGCCTTTGCGTTTAGTGTGATTAAAGCTGTTTTTGTTGGATCATTCCAGTCTGTTTTTCTGCCGTGGACATTATATAGAAGTAGCTAATGATTTGACCTTGAGGGTGTATTTAACAACTATACAACTATACAACCTTAGAATATGGTGTACAGGTATTGCAGGACATCCTGGAATTCCTGTCAAGAAAACTGGAATCAATCCAGAAAATGGCACAGTGCATCATGTATCCATCACTTACTTACGATGATGCACTTAGCTGTACTAAGCTTAGCAGCCTGGCAAAGAGAAGGGTGTAACTTTGTATTCATTATATTTCCAAGATCTCACAAAATAAACACCCAATTCATTTTTTAGACCCTAAGGATACGAGAATTGGAGGTAGATATAATCCGAGAACCGCTTCCACTCGTAAGGTACATGTAGCGGTGTCACAGTCTTGTCAAGGGGATGGTGTCATTCAAGCAGCGAAGTTACGTGTTGGAACTTCATGTTTAGAGCGGGCAGTACAGCAGTTATTCCCTCTCGAGCTCTGTTGTGACCCAGTAAGAGATGATCGAGGCAGACAAACCAACTCCTTTGTGTGTAGAAGCACCAGAGTTCAAGCATCACGAGATGCTGCCGTTGCAGCAAACCTGCGGATCAGAGATCTAGCGAGGAAAACTGTGATCCTTAAACTTAAGTGAATGCTGAGACGAAGAGAACAGATTTTACCCAAATTACAAGCAAGATACATGTATAGTGGTTAATATATAACACTTCTAGTAGTATAAGAATGAACTCTGAACTTTGCATGTTTTGTTTGTTTATGTTTATCCCTACTGGAGCTAAACAGGGGGAGGGTGTTGAAAATTGTGCTGTTTGTTTTGTAGAAGTTTTATTATATAACCTGTGCACGCAATTTTAAGCTCATTTCAATACCACATTCAATTATATTGTTGAGACAAGATAGGGATTATGACGATAGCTGTCAAAATTAGATAAGTGTGCTCATGTTACTCTTCTATGTAGATTTTCGACTGGGAGCGTTTAGTGTGGTTGCGTATTACAAGTGAGGCATATTTGATGGGAGAAATTATTTTGTAAACAGTGTGAGTTGACTAATTTCTGAAAGTAGGATTGCCAAGATGGAACAAGGTACATGTAGTCCAATTGTTAGCCACTCAGAGAAAAAATACATTTTTCACACCATTAAGAGGACAAGCATCCTTTTTCACTTTATGTTCTTGCTTGTTAGGCAAGTAGGTTCAAGTTATTATCATTAATATTATTTTTATTTTGACCTGTCAGAAGAGAGACATGACTGAGGTACTTCTTTGGACAGTCAAGACGACCAGCAACAGTCTTAAATTTATTTTGAGCCTTGACACCTAGACAATCCCGCGCAAAACATACCCCATCCAAAACAGCAAATCCCACTGAGATTGGTCATGCCATCTGGGGTTGTCACCCTCAGTCAGGATTCAACAATGCACGCAAGGTCTGTATTGTTCAGTTCAATCAATCCAATCAACAGCGAGTTTAATATTTGAGACCATGATGGTGTTTTAGTAAACCTGTGGAAGCCTGTGGGTTTTAGTCAAGGCTGACTAAAGGGTATTGCAGGGTAGATGAAGGATCCTCCTCTCTTAGGACAATATCCCTTGCTATTGTAACTCCCAGCTCACCAATTTAATTCCACAAATCTGGTCTGGCCCTTAGGCAACCAATACCACAAACAGACAAAGCCTACATGAATAGGATCAATAATGTAGATGTAGAATGCAAGGAAGATACAAGGCATGATAAACAGTAATTAGTACAAATTGTGCCAACAAAGAGCAAAAATAGATAAGGACAAGAACAGGATCAGTAATGTACATGTAGTGTACCAGGAAAACACAAGGGATGATAAACAGATAATTCTTCCAGTTTGTGCAGACACAAAACAACAATAGATTACAAAAATGAAGTCACCAGAGGACAAGAACAGAGCACAACTGGCAGCCAAAGGCACCAAGGGCTGGCAAAAATTTCTTTTTGCTTACTGGTCCATGTCAAAGGATGAAAAAAACATGGAAATATTTACTGTCAATAAAAATAATTATAGATTTTAGTTTTGTAAGTTACCATGACTCATATTTACTTGGAACTCCTAGCCTTTCTTTAATTTGTTGTTCATTTAAACATTTCTTCTAAAGTCACCATGACGATTTGCCATGCATGGTAGCTGTGATCTTGGATATCTTCTTTCAAAAATCTTTATAGCATTTATAAAATCAATGTGACCATAATAACAGGCAAATTAAAATAAAAGCTTGCTAATATTATTTCAACTACCATAACCTAAAGTTTGTTTGCCAGAAAAGTGATTTGCCTCTTGGCACCACTACGGAATAATAAATATTTAATATGATACATGTTTTCCTAAATATAAATTGTTTACAGCAAAAAAACTTGAACAGAAAGAATACAACTTCTCTCAACAACAACACTCATTTCTTGAATTATTTACATATCTGGCACTTGAGCCAGTCCCTTCAATCTCTTTCTTGATCACTTTTGTTTGATCGACGAGATACATTTAATTTTTTAGATGAAAGAGAAATCCACAGATTCCCATAACACTTAAATTCACATCATCTTCAGTAGTCATTTAGAACTTTCCACTTTAGGTTTTCTCCTTAAACAAATTTCTGAAGAGTATCTCAGTCAGACATCACCTCTCGCGGGCTACCTTGTAGGATATTTATCTTCAAAAAGCTTTTCAATGTTTGTTTACATTTGGCACGTGTTTCCCGTTTGCACTGATTGCTCAAAAACCGACAGCTCAGTCAATGAGGAGCAACAGTGGGCATGAGAGGCAGAATTTATTGATTAACGTCCAGATTGACTGATTGATTGACTGAATGATTGATAGATAAACAATAGAAGTACACGTACAAGTACATACTGTAGGATTAACACTTAGACAGAACGAGGTGGGCAAAATAGCCTGATTGTTAGCCACTCAGTGACTTTACAAAATGTACCCCTGGAACCCAATTTTTTATTTTACTACATGTACACTGTACTTACAATTTAGTATTGTTTCATTCAGTGCACAGAGTATGAAACCACCATAACTCAAGGTTCAAAATAAAGGCCGGTCAACAGACAATGTCCGGCCAAAATTTTGGTTTACTGGACACAAAACTAAGTGACCAGAAAAAATTTCATGTTCGCACCATTACATTTCAAGAAGATAAGTGTCATTTTCCAATGTATAGACTGTATCTTTTTGCTTGTAATGTTCAAGTTATTATCCTTTATATTTTATAAATTTTTACCAGTCAGAAGAGAGACGTGACCATGCTCAAATTTCTTTCGAAGTCAGTCCCAAATTTATTTTGAACCTTGATAACTTGATAATTTTCTACCCAGTCCAAAGCAGCAAACCTCGGTAAAAAGACCTACTCAGTCAGGATTCAACAATGCACACAACAGCTGTATTGTTCTGAGCTCAACCACTCCATAGAACGTACATCAGCCAGTTTCATAATTGGGAACCAGAACAGTGGTTTGAACTGTAGACTTCAGTCAAGAGTGACAAAAGGGCACAGCTAGGTAGATAAAGTTAAAGAGTGAATCTTTAGTGCGGGATCATCCTCCCTTAAACAAATTCCTAATTCCCAGATTGCCAAGAAAGTTTGATAGATCAGGCGAGACTGTACACGTTGATGTACATATACATCTACACTGTATAATGGTTAGCCTCAGTTGTCCAGAAATGTACTACTGAACAAGATTGTCATCTTGATTGTTGCAGAGCCAATGGAACCTGGTAAGAAACCAGTCCAATATTAAGGCAGACGTGAGTTGCCCCTTTGCAGGCATCCAATACCACTAACTGACAAAGCCATAAATAGGATCAACAATGCAGCATGCAAGGAAGACACAAGGCATGATAAATAGGCAATAAAATTTTTCCAAATTGTGCCAACACAAAAAAAATAGATTACAAAAATGAAGTTTAACCATAGGACAAGAACAAAGCACAACTGGGAGCCATAGGCAGCCTGGAGTGATACGAAAGTTAATATTTTTGTTAATTTTTTATTTTTTTGCTTACTGGTCCATCCCAAAAGTTAAAAAAAAAACATAGAAAGATTCACTATCAATAGGATTATAGATCATATTCAACCTTTGGAAGTTGGCATTACCCCATCACCCTTAATTTTTGTCTGCTGTGCTGTTTTCTTCGTCACCATCCTGAATTCTTACGAGTAAATTGCTGTTCTTAATGTTTGTTGTGACACCGACCCGATTGTAGCACGGAAAGTGGCGAGAAAATATGAAGATCTTTGTTTGAACTCGTTGCATGACGTGCTCTCAATATGGCGGCATAACCAATGTTTTAGCCTTAGCAACATGCTAATTTGCTAATAGAGCATTAAACTGCAGCCTTATCTGTCATCAACCCTGCAAGGATCATATTTCTGGTAATGTGTCGCTAGTAGGCTTTTTACAGCCTCAGAAATGATTTAGAAATATCAAAACAATCGTACTTTATTTGGGGAAGCAGAATGTAAGCGAATTTTGTTATAATATGCCCTCAGGCTTACTTGAAAATCATACTGTGTTATCGCATGTCGCGTTGTGAAAATTGCAACATTTCTGTCAACAACTATTGTGTCGGATTTCAGCCCTGTGATTATAA